AAGATGTCTGGAGAGGAGAAGAGAACTGCCTTGCAGCATCCTCTTGTGAACTGACCAATTCTTCCCTTAGGAGGAAACCTAGCGAGTCCATCCAGAGTGCATCTGCTGCCCTGGCACCGTGCAAACCACTTGCTACTCAGACCTTCATTCAATCCTAATGGGATCCTGAGACAAGCTGAAGGGGTGGCAGGGGTCAGGGAGAGGAGGGGAACCCCCCTCACAGAGGAGGGACCTGAAGCACCCGGGGCAGTGATGAAGCTGAGTGCTCACTGGCCCTGGCCTGGATAGCAGGCCACCACCAAGCACCACCTTGAACCTGGGTATGCATCTTCCAGGGATGATTTGCAAACAGATGTTGACAAAGGACACCTGTGTCCGGATGTACTGAGGAGCTTATGCTGATTCCTGGCATCCATATTTACATTATCCAAGTTCTCAAATCACTTAAAGGAAATACTTACTGAGTTGATCGAGGGCTGAGGGTGGCATAATTACTGTGGAAAGAACATTTAAGAATATTAAAAAAAATAAAAAGGACAGACTAAAGGCAAGATGCAGTTTCTATTATGTCAAAAAAATGTTTTAAACAGTATTTTTAGGGTAGCCAGAATTTCAAAGTGATCTTTCATAAAGAATCTTACTTGATGTAATTTATTTTTGGGAACTGAATGGCTACCAGCCAGAATGTAACCATTAATTAGCACCCCACTCCCACTTAGCAAGTCTGGACAAGCACCATTTTCACAGAAACACTCGCTTCTGGCTCCCACATGCAAAGGACTGTTGAAGGCTACAAGCATGGCAGACAGGGCAGTAAAGGTTACTATTCAAAATAAAAACAAGCACATACTCTTCCCTCCTTTCTCCACATCTGACCTGTCATTAGGCCCTGCTAGCATGGATACTGAGAAGCACCGGTACTGTGTGGAGAAGCGGTTTTGGAAGACCCGGGGAATCGGGTGGTCAAACATGTTAAAAGAGAACTAAAAGGAAGGAGAGAAGAAGGTGTTAGAACCAAACAAAGGTACATTTCTTCACATCAAAAGCCAAAACACCTCAAGGTAGTTTAATACTGGTAAACATTGTTGAAGAACACAACATCCTGAAATCTTGATTAACCAGGACATACTAATTTCCTGAGTAAGCTGCAAATCCTTTCTGCCCTGCCCAGTCTAATCCCCTCAGATTTAGTTTCCACCATTTTTGGGAAGTGCCATCTTATTAAAATATAATATTGGCCATGCCGAGCCTGTCCTGAGCCTTTTTCAAGGGCTGTTCCCCACCCCCTGTCCCCAGAATATGATAAAGTTTAATTTATAAATTAGGCACACTAAGAGATTAACAACTAATAATAAAACAAAACAGTTATAACAATATATTGTTAAAAAAAAAAGTTATGTGGATGTGGTCCCCCTCTCTCAAAATATTTTAATACTTTCAGACCATGGTTGACCTTGGGTAACTGAAACCACGGAAAGCAAAACCAAGGATATGGGGGGGTCTACTGTATTGCAATAATTATGACGTTTAAAAAGAATATAAAATCTCATGATAGAGTATTGTGATATTACTTTATATACATATTACCTACATATATATATAATAACAAAGTTACATATATAGTTTTTCCCCACTGAAAACTCCCATAGCTCTTTTTAGGGTCTTTTGTTATAATGTTGGGTGTGTTAAACCTCAGGAGCAGCCTCAGGAAACAGACTCTCTCTGACCTCCACCTGCCTTAAGGCAGGACTTTAATCTTCCCCCACCTTTATGATTGTGGGTCCTAAAACCCTTATTCTAGAGAGGGTCCACCCCACACCCTGAAGGCTAATCACATTTGGACACAGCTGTCCATAAAAACCCAAGACGACTGGGTTTGGAGAGCTTTTGGGTAGCCGAACACATGAAGGTTCCTGGAGGGTGGAACCTTCTCCTACTCCATACCTCACCCTATGCATCTCTTCATCTGTGTCCTTTGTAGTACCCTTTACAATAAACTGGTTAACAACATTAATTGCTTCCCTGAGCTCTGTGAGCTACTCTGGCAAATTAATTGAGCCCAAAGAGGGGTTTGGGGGAACCCCAACTTGAAGCTGGTTGGTCAAAAGTTCTGGAGGCCCGGCACTGTGACTGCTGTCTGAGGACTGAGCCCTCACCCTATGGAATTTGATACTTTCTCTAGGTAGATAGCATCCAATTTAAATTAGAGGACACCCAGCTGGTGTTCACTGCATGGTGTGTAAGGAAAAATTTCACATTTGGTCACAGAAGTCTTCTTTATTTTTTTCCCCACCCCCGTAGAAGTCTTCTTATGTGATGATTATTACAGTGCAAGAACACAGTTTGAGAGGTTCCCAAGCAGGTATATATCCAAAAGAATTGAAAACAGGATCTCAAAGAGGTATTTGCACACCCATATTTGCAGCACCATTGTTCTCAACAGCCAAAAGGTGGAAGAAATGCCAACAGATGAATAAACAAAATGTGGCCAGACAACAGAATATTATTCAGCCTTAAAAAGGAAATCCTGTGACATGCTATAACATGGATGAACCTTGAGGACATCATGCGAAATGAAATAAGCCAGTCACACTTAAATGATTCCACTTATATGAAGTCCCTAAAGTAATCAAATTCAGAGACAGAAAGTAGAATAAGGGTTTCCAGGGGCTATGGGGAGGGGAAAATGGAGAGTTATTGTTTAATGGGAAGAGTTTTACTTCTGCGAAATAAAAGGTTCTGATTTGGAGGTCCATTGCACAACCATGTGAAATATTAAACACTATTGAACTATACACTTAAAAATGGTTACGATGGTAAAATTTGTTATTTTTCTTACCACAACTTAAAGAATTTGTCATAGTAAGACAAATATTTCTTGACTTGGTTCAAATATACATTAAGTAGAAGGAAAGCCACCAATTAATAAAGTCCTTTACTAGCAATTTCAAAATTAGCAAGCTTAATCAGCTATCTTCCTAAAATGCAAATATAGCATGCTTCTGCCTAAAATCTTGGTTGGTTCACTCCCTGGAACTCAAGCACAGTAATTGTCAATCTTGGTCTCTCTTTCTTCTTTTAAGCAGAATTAGGTTCAACTAAATAAATATTGTCCAGAAGCATAACAAATGAAACAGCCTTTCTGGATGAACAAAGCCAGAGGGAGTAAAAGGCTTCCCCTGAGTGTCTCTCCTTAGGCCACCCCATCTAAACCATTTCTTCTCTTGGCAACATGAAAGGAAAATGCGCACAAAGTATCCAACACTCTTAACAATGTGCCTTCAATTCACCCGTGAACCTGACTTCTGCTCCTCCCTACCCCATGTCTTACTTTCCTTTATAATCCCAATATTTAGCACATTGCCTGGCACACAGATCAGGTATTCAGTGTCTGTTAAATGGACAAACTTGGGAACAGCAACATGATTTGACAGTGACAAACTTAGGATAAAATCTAATACTCATTGTTTTTACTGAAATAAACAGGTGACATAAAGGTAATGCTGTACAGTGGTAATGAAAGAGCTTTGCAGCCAGACAGACTTGGCTTCTGTGACCTCGAGTAAACTATCTCCGTAAACCTTAGTTTTCTCATAGTTAAAATGATAATAATAATCCTTGCCTCCAAGGATTATTGTTGTAGGTATTAAAGAGGAGAAGGTGTGATGAAGGACTGCAGGTATTAAAGAAAAACTAATAGGAAAAGCATCAGCAAACACTAGCTACTATCGCTATCATTACTGAACACAGCATCGCTGTATCCACCCGAAGACACGAGCCCGGAGTCACAAAGCTCGCAGAACTGGGGCAAGAACTGGGTGTCCTCGCCACGAGGATGTCCCCCACGGATTCTCCCTGGGGAGCACCTGGTTCTGTCCCCACCCCCACAGACTTCCCACTAACTTTGTGTTTACGGAACCTGTTGCGCGTCTGGCACTTTCGAGACCCACGGGTGGACACAAACGCAGATTCCTTTTTACCCTTCAGAAGAACAAGCCCCGCTGAGAGGGAATGCGAACCAAGCACCGGACACGCGGACGGGACCAGAGACAGTTCGAGGTCGAGGGTCCGGCTAGTGCCCGAAGCGCCCGGGAGGAGCAAGACAGGCCAGACTCAGGCCCGGGTGACTCGGCATCTCCGCCGCCGTCCGTCCCCCGCGCCTGGCTCCGGCCCTAGTCCCATCCCCCATGCTCCGACCCTGCCCGGCAGCGCTTACCATGATGAACGCCGTCTCGCAGGCACCGCTTCTCTCAGAGAACGTTACGAAGAGAGTCCGCAGACTGCTCTCGCCGCAGCCACCGCTGCCCGGAAGCCGGAACGCCCCGGGAGGCTCACCGGAAGTGCCGGGCCTGTGACCCGAGGGGAGGTCCCGAGGCCAAGCGTCGGCTCCAAACGGGAAAAAGAAACAGGCAAAGGCCCTAGCCTCTAAAATCTCCTTAGCATTTATATTACAATACTCTTTCATAACTTGTTTCCCTGTCTAGAGGTCATTTTGAAATTATCTTAAATGACGTTTTGATCGTACTCCCCTCCGGACGAATTTAGTAGGTCCCATTCTCCTGACGACTACACTACCCAGAATGCACGTAAACCTTTCGGCCATTGCTTCAGCCATCTAGGACTCGGTCGGAAGTAAGGTACAAATCCGCCTTCAAACTAGACCAAGAACCTATTGAAAACTGACTGCCGCCCTTATTCGATAGACGGAGGAATTTATGACTAGATGTGTATTTTCCCTGGGATTCCCAGTAGAAGGCAATAGGCTTCTCTTCCTAAAGTAAAGATGTCTTCCAAGCGTTGGGTTTCTGGGTAAAAGCAAGTCAGCGAGGAAGTGGCTGCGTCTGGCCTCAGAGATTATGCGTATTTGGGGTCGGGCCACAGTGTTCCAGCCGTGATTGGCGGAACGTACCCCAAATGGCCCAATCAGAAAGGAGAAAAGGTTGGCACCTACGAAACTATTGGTTGGTGATCCCTGGGCCAATCCGGGAAGAGCAGTGATTTGGCGGGAGTCTTGACCGCCGCCGGGGTTCTAGGTGTCTCCGCACAAGCGCAAGGCATCTGGTCGCGGTGGCTATGTTTGTGTCCGATTTCCGCAAAGAGTTCTACGAGGTGGTCCAGAGCCAGGTGACTCCTAGCCCAGGACCCAGGCCAAGGCCAGGTCGGGGGGAAGGGATGGGGGGAACAGCCGCTGTAACCAGGAGGGCGGGGAGGGGCGGTGGTCCGGTCGCGGCGCTCAGCCCTTTCGCTCTTCCCCTGACAGAGGGTCCTTCTCTTCGTGGCCTCGGACGTGGATGCTCTGTGCGCTTGCAAGATCCTTCAGGTGAGTTCTGCGGATCGTGGGAGGGCGGGGCCGGGGCGAGAAGGAGGGTTCAGGTGGACTCGGAGTTGGGACGGGAGCTTAGCGGGGCAGGAGGTGAGGAGCAGGTGATTGGACCTGGGGACTCTCTCTGAGACGTCGCCTTCCTGTTTGGACAGTGTTGGGTGGGTTAGAGAAGGATTAGGTAAGGTGAGGAGACTTGTTTATAGGTTTGCAATGACCTAGGCCAAAAGAATGCTTGCATTTGGGAGACCTTTGGACCAGTAGCGGCCTCTCAAATGTGGGGTCTGAGAGAGGAATCGGTGACATCTGAGGGCATGATGGTGTCATATGCGGTGGTGGGAATTCTAGTGTTAGGGAAAAGCATTAGTTTGGTTTTGAATGGGGTGCACTGTTTACATTAAGTTTTCGCCAGTCCCTTGGGTCAGACAGTTCTTCTCAGAAGGCCTGGAAATAAGATCAGCTTTTCTCCCAATGTTTTACTTAGGTAATTCTCAAAAATTCAGCAAACTTGACAGAACAGTATAGTGAACACTCAAATTCTCACCACCCAGCTTTTCCCATTAACATTGTACTAACCTTACATTATCACAATTCTTTTGTCTTTCAACCCATCTGGTTTTTTTCCTAGTGCATTTCAAGGTGTATTGCAGACATCCTAAATAAGATAGGCTTTGAAAACACTCTCTCTCCAGGCCCTGTTCCAGTGTGACCACGTGCAGTACACGCTGGTTCCAGTTGCTGGGTGGCAAGAACTTGAAACTGCATTTCTTGAGCATAAAGCACAGGTATGAAAAATGTGTTTTAGAATTATTAGGCTTTTTTACTCGATGGCAAGTTCTTAACACTTAACATTCTTTCTAGATGCACAAGAGGTAGAGTGTGTATTTAAGTATAAGCCATAATAGGCAATATGAAAGGGAAAGGCATGCTCTGTATATACTGGTGGTTTACTCTCAAGTTGTAGAGACAAAATTGACAACAAAAGAAGATACTGAATATGGACAGCTCCTAACTTTGAACTTGTTTTGTAATTTGATTGTAAGGCACTTGGAATTTAGCAGTTTTTAATACGGCCTAGTTAAAAAATTATTTTAGAATATACCACTATTTTATATCATCTCTCTAAGAAACTGCATCCTAGTTTCCAAATTGAAGTCCAGGAACACTTATTCTCCCTTTAGAATTTAAACAATAGAGGCCAGGGTTCTTCCTACCTCCTTGTGGGCCCCACAGAGAGGAGCTGGGGCATGGAAGAGGGTCCCTGGAGTTCCTGCCACATCTAAGACTGTTTTGGCAGAAGTAAATTTTCACCTAGAATTCCTGTCATCATGTCAGGAACCTGTACCTGTTTGGTATTTGTAAGGCAAGAATTCACTATAGTGATAGAGTTTGATAAAGGACTTAATATTTAGGTACCCATAAAATATTTGCTAAGAGTTTAAACTTGTGCAATGCTGTTCACATGGAGAGGTGGCAGCACAGGACTGTGCCATCTGGAGATATACCACTCTACGTTTGAAGTCGTGGTCTGCTCACTGGCCCTGTGCATGAGGCTGGGGCCTGTTGAGCCTCAGTGTACTCCTCATACTCCTCGGGAAAGCAAGGAGGGCCACAGGGCCTACTCCACAGTGTCATCTGTGGAAATGAAATAACACAGAGTATGTTGGAGCACTTAACATGCCAGTGGGGCCATTTTTGGAGCCCCTTGCTGTCTGGGCCTTGCCACATGTCAGGGGCTTACCCTGTCTCAGCAGAAGGACTAAGAGGCCTAATGTGATGATGGGAAAGGGGCATCCTTGATACATTTGCTTTATAATATCTCCCTTCTTTTTCCAGTTCCGTTATTTTATTCTCATAAACTGTGGAGCTAATGTAGACCTATTGGATATCCTTCAACCCGACGAAGACACTATATTCTTTGTGTGTGATACCCACAGGCCAGTCAACGTTGTGAATGTGTACAATGACACTCAGGTATCCAGGCCTTTGTGGCATCACCTTTTCTGTTCTGTCCCCTCAACCTGTCTGCATCTTTTTAGGCCACATACAATGTTGCACCTGATGTTCTTGGCAAGGCATGTATCTGACTCCCCTATGGAAGTGGGAGCCGTCTGAGCACACGAACTTGTTCTTGTCCATCTTTGACAAGAAATGCGGCATCTCGCCATTGGAGGTACTCAGAATGCATCTGTGGAATTCACTTGATCTGGGAGGTACAGGGACAAGAACCCTGTAGCCTACAATGGCCCAACTGCACTTATTCTTTGAATTTCTGTGCAAGAAGCCTGCACCTTGGCACAGAGTGGCTATCTAAGCATTCTCTGACTTGATATTCTCCCACCCATGAGGTGCTGGGCCCTGAAATTCTCATGTGAGCAACCTCTCCAAGAGAAATCAGCCTGGAATTGCTTTTAGAGACAGGAACTGTATTCATTTAGGGGTCACACATCATCCTGTCCTCTCTCAGAGGCCATGCTGTGGGGCATTCATCTTGTCAACGTGTGCCATAAGAGAGAGCTGCCTTTCCAGACTTAAGCAGACTGCAGATGGTTTTCAAAAAATTGTTCTCAGGTTTTCATCATTTCTCTATACTGGGTATGGTGCAACTCCAGCGCCTCACTGAGTGGTAGTAAAAACAAGAAAATTCCTGAGAAGTCTGGAAGTCTTCTTAAATAGGTAGCTATTGGTATATACCGGAAACTATGAGTCAGCTAATTAGGAAACAATAAGATTCCACAAGAGAAAAACCCTGTTGTGATGGCAAGAGGGGAGATCTGATTGCTTTTTGTTTTAAACTTAGATCAAATTACTCATTAAACAAGATGATGACCTTGAAGTTCCTGCCTATGATGACATCTTTAGGGATGACGAGGAAGATGAAGAGCATTTGGGAAATGACAGCGATGGATCAGAGCCTTCTGGGTCAGAGCCTTCTGAGAAGCGCACACGGTTAGAAGAGGTATGTTTGGGCCTCTCACAGCATCCTGGAGGAACTGGTACTCCCAGAGGTCAGAGGTTCTCTCTAGAACCTGCTGGGCCCAGGCATAACTGGGGTGGTGGGGCAGTGGGAAGTGGAGCAGTTAGCAGGCATGGGGGCTGACCCTGGGCCCTGCTGTCGCCTGGCTGTGTAGCTTCAGGCAGGTAACTGGACGTCTCTGGGGCACTGCCTTTATGTTTCCAGTAGGATCCTTTCAGATGAATGAAGCTTTGCTATCTCTGTGACGAGATAGCAAAAAAGTGATATAGAGAAACAATAAATAGGGAAAACCTCCCCTTCCTTCTTGGCCCCCCTCCAGCATTGCTCACTGTACAGTCACCACAGAGGAATAATGTGGTTCTGTGGCCCTTGGCTAGGTCCAGTCCCAGACAGTCACTCCCAGGGGTAGCATCTACACATGAAGATGTCAGTGGTTTGCACCATGTGGGCCTTGGATCTGAACTGCTTAGCCATCTGGGGCTCAGTCAACAGACGCAGCCGACCCAAGGCTGCATGCGGGTCTGCTAGATGTAGAATTACAGGTGGGAGGTGGCAGTTCCTCCTGCACAAGGTCTGTGTTTTATTCAGCGTTCAGCGTTGCTATTGAAGGAGCTCATGCCCTCTGGCTCCTGATCCTTGGTGTGTGACCTGGAATTTGCTTCTGGAATGTTTTATGGTCTTCCCTTCAACCTCAGCTTGACATTTCCCAGTAATATGCGTTAGCTGAGGCTTTTGGAGCCATGTTTTGGACAGCTAGGACATTCTCACCATCTGGGGAAGGAGTGGTGTCCTTCAGCCAAGGCGTGAGCTCATGAAACCACTCCTCTAAAAATGCTGCTGAAATGCCTGGTGTCTCTGAAGATGGTGAAATAATGGTGAAATGACACTTAAAATAATGATTTCCCAGCACTGGCGCTAGCTACCTCTCGAAAAACCCAGGTGACCATGCCTAGGCACAGATTTGTCTTCCAGAACCGTTTCCCCTTCCGAGCTGAGTCATCAAACCAGTCTGAAGAGGAGGCTGAAAAATTCGGATCCTGTTTCGGTCTTTATCTTCTAATCTTCGATTTCCGAAAGCTCCTTTTTTGTTCTCTGAATGCTCCTTTTTTGATAAGTCTTGGGATTCTCCACTCTCCTAAGCTAACATTTTTTTAGTACCTACTATGTGCAGGTAGCAGTCAGGCCCTGGTGTACAAGGAAGAAAGCAAAGTCAAAGCTTTCCAGCAGGGAAGACAGACACTGAACATGTAAATGAGCACAGTCAGAGGGTGGTTTCAGGTGGAAAGCAGGGTGAGGGCAGACAGAACAGGGTGTGGTTTCTGAAGGGGTGTTTATGGACACCTGACCAGAGACCTGAGTGAGGATCCAGGAGGATTCCCAGGCAGAGCTTGCACAGGCATAATGGCTCCCAGATGGAAGGAAGGTGTCCAGGTGGGTGTGGCCAGCAGTGCCAGAGAAACAGGCAGATGAGAACTGACCAGTGGGTTTGGCCACAAAGAGACTGTCAGTCGTCTTGGTGAGAAACAAGAATATATTAGAGCTCCTGTTTACATTCTTAACACATCTGTTTAGAATCTGTGTTTGCAAATGCTTTATGTAATATTCATGATGTATGTGTAATTTCCCACCAACTTTTCTATTTTGAAATATTTTCAAATGTATACTGTGGTTGAGAGGATAGTATAGTGAGCATCCATTTACCCTCCATCTAAGCCAGGCATCCTCAAACTACAGCCTGCGGGCCACATGCGGGTGTTTTTGCCTGTTTGTTTTTTTACTTCAAAATAAGATATGTGCAGTGTGCACAGGAATTTGTTCATAGTATTTTTAAACTATAGTCTGACCCTCCAGTGGTCTGAGGGACAGTGAATTAGCCCCCTGTTAAAAAAGTTTGAGGACTCCTGCTCTAGAGTCAACAGTTGTTCCCAATTGCCACGTTTGCCTTCTCTTTTTTCTTTTTCTTTTTTTTTTTTTGTGGGATTATTTGAGAATAAATTGCAGATACCATGATATTCTCCTATAAATTCTTCCATATGCACCTCCTAAGAATAAGGACATTTTCCCCCATAAACACAATACAATTATGATACATAAAAAATGAATAATGTCTTAATTTCATGTAATATTCAGCCCATATTCAAGTTTTGTTAATCCTCAAAATATGTTTTGCAGCTGTTTTTATTTGTGAACTATCCTCCAATCAAGGATGACATGTTTGGCTCTTTCTCTTTTTTTTGAGACAGAGTCTCGCTTTATTGCCCAGGCTAGAGTGAGTGCCATGGCGTCAGCCTAGCTCACAGCAACCTCAAACTCCTGGGCTCAAGGGATCCTACTGCCCCAGCCTCCGAGTAGCTGCGACTATTGACATGCGCCACCATGTCCAGCTAATTTTTTCTCTATATATTAGTTGGCCAATTAATTTCTTTCTATTTATAGTAGAGATGGGGTCTCACTCTTGCTCAGGCTGGTTTCAAACTCCTGACCTTGAGCAATCCACCCGCCTCAGCCTCCCAGAGTGCTAGGATTATAGACATGAGCCACCGCGCCCAGCCGGCTGTTTCTCTTTACGGTCTTTTAACCTAGAACTGTACTCCACCCTCCACCTTTTTTTTTTGATACTGGGAGATAGCCCTGTTTTCCAATATTTATTATTTGCTTCTTTATGGAGTAATTTAACTTACTTCTCCATCCCTGCATTTTCTATGATCTGTATGTTAGGTCTAGAGGCTTGATTTTAATAAGATTAAGGTGTTTTTAGAATACTTTCTTTGCTTTGCTTTGAGTTTTGTGGGTTTTTTTTGGTTTGTTTGTTTGTTTTGAGACAGGGTCTTGCTCTATTGCCCAGCTAGAGTGCAGTGGCACCATCATAGCTCACTGCAGCCTCAAACTCCTAGGCTCAAGCCATCCTCCTGCCTGAGCCTCCCCAGTAGCTGGGACTATAGGTGCAGGCCACTACGCCTGGCTAATTTTTCTATTTTTTTGTAGAGGTGGGATCTCACTCTCACTCAGGATGATCTCAAACTCCTGGCCTCAAGCAATCCTCCCTTCTCGGCCTCCCAAAGTACTAGGATTACAGGTGTGAGCCACTGCACCCAGCCAGAATACTTTTTATATAATTAAAATCTGCATGACTTATAGGTATATGCATTTTAGAGGTATATTCTCAGAAATATTTTTATTAATAAAGTGCACATTCAAAGAGGTTTGGAGACAGCAGGTTATAAACAATCTCTTCAAAGACTTTTGCTATAAAGAGAGCAGAGGAGACATGGGATCAAGAATAGCTTTTGTTTATCTTTTAAAGGTGGAACTTTAGGGCTAGGTATGGTGGCTCACTATAATCCAAGTGCTTTGGGAAGCCGAGGTGGGAAGATCACTTGAGGCCAGGAGACCAGCCTGAGCAACATAGTGAGACCCTGTCTCTACAAAAAATTGAAAAATTAGCTGGGCGTGATGGCATGTGCCTATAGTCCCAGCTACCCAGGAGGCTGAGGCAGGAGGATCTCTGGAGGACCAGGAGTTGGAGGTTGCAGTGAGCTGTGATGACACCACTGCACTCTAGCCCAGGCAACAGAGCGAGACCTTTTCCCTCTTCTCAAAAAAGTGAAACTTTAAAGCTGGACCCAGCAAAGGAGGATTTCTCTATAAAATAAGCGTAATTACACATAATCTAATGGTGTTATTATATGCTGGCTCAGGTTGCCAGGTTCACATTTTAGGTCTGCCATTAGAGCTGTAGGACCTCAGGCAAGTGACTTACCTTCTTTGTGTGTCTGTAAAATGAAAATAATAATTGGACTTAACAGTTTTGGTTCCTACTGGTGTTTAACAAATTACTCCAGAACTTAGCAGCTTAAATCAACCACTTTCTTGTGCTCGTGGATTCTGTCAATAAGAATTTGGGCAGAGCCTAGCAGGGGTGGCATTAGCGTCTTTCTGCTCTGTGATGTCTGGAGTCTCCACTGAGGACTTAAAAGCTGGGGGCATAGAAATCATTGGCTCTTGTGTCAGTCACCTGGTCTGCTGGTCTGCTGGGGTGGCTCCAAGCCAGGACTGCTGAGCCAGGCACCTGCAGGGGTCTCCTCATTGCACATGGCTTCCTCATAGCAAAGCAGCTCAGCCTCCCAGCAGTAATCTTCCGGTCAACAGGGCAGCCACTGCCTGGCTCTCCTGACTGACTTTGGAGTCCCTCATCATCCTATAGCCCCAGGGGAGGGGACAGGACCCTACCAGGAAGGGTCGAAGAAATCTTGGGCTGTGGAGGTTTTGTTAAATCAACTTTACTGAGGCATGATTTCTACACAAGTCACCAGGTGTGTAATTTGCTGAGATTTAACAAACGTGTAAAGTCACGTGACTACATCACGTTGGAGACTGGTTCCATTACCCCCAAAAAGGTCCCTCATCAGGACCGTGGCTTTTTTGTTTGTTTTTAATTTTTAATTTTCTTTATTTTTTTCTTTTTTTTTTTCCGTCTCCATACTCAAGTGGTAGTACTGTGGCTTTTTTCTAATTAAGCTTTTTCTTTTGAGATCATTGTAGATTCACATGCAGTTGTAAGAAGTAATATAGAACTTGGATCCCCAACCCCTGGGCCGGGGACCTATACCTTCTGTAGGTCCGTGGTCTGTTAGGAACCAGCTGCACAGCAGGAGGTGAGCGGCAGGCAAGCAAGCAAAACGTCTTCTGTATTTACAGCCACTCCCAGTCACTTGCATCACCGCAGGAGCTCCACCTGTGTCAGATCAGCATCAGTGGGGGCATTAGATTCTCATAGGAGCAAGAAACCCTGCCGTAAACCACACGTGCCAAGGGATCCAGGTTGCGTGCTCTGTTGGGGAGCGGCTGCAAATACAGATTGTCATTAGCAGAGAGGTTTGGCTGCATCATAAATGTAATGTGCTTGAATCATCCCCAAACCATCCTGGCCTCTGGTCCATGGAAAAATTGTCTTCCCTGAAACTGGTCCCTGGCACCAAAAAGGTTGGGGACTGGTGAGAGAGAGAGATCACCTATATACTTTGCCGGGTTTTCCCTAAAGGTAAGATAGTGTAGTGTAGTGTCACAATCAGGATATTGACATGCATGTGGAACATTCGCATCGCTGTAAGGATCCCTCCCAGGGCCCTTTTTAGCCACACCCACCTCCTTTTTGTCCCTACCCCTCCTTAGCCCCTGGCAAGCACTAGAGGTTTTCCCCGTTTCAGCAATGTTACATAAATAGAAATGGAGTCATACAGTGTAAAACCTTTTGGGGTTGGCTTTTTCACTCAGCATAATTCTCTGGAGATCATCCAAGTTGTTGTGTATATGAGTAGTTCATTCATCTTTTTCCTTCCACCAGCATTGTGCACAAATTCTGTGTGTTTTATTAGATTTACACCTCCGTACAAACGTACAAAAATCAATTTTCTGTATACTAGCAATGAACACACGGACACAAAAATTCAAAATACAATACTATTTATAATCACTAAAAGAAATGTGTATTCTGCTGTTGGGTAGACTGTTCTAGAAATTTTAATAGCTACTGTTAGTTGGTGGCGCTATTGAGTTCTTTGCGTGCTGCTTTTCTGTCAAGTTATTTTTTCCATTTTTGAGAGGGGGCATGGACAACTCCAACTGTGAGTATAGACTTGTCTGTTTACAGTTCTGTCAGTTTTTATCTCACATAATTTATAGTTCATTTTGTGCACACACATTTAGGAATGTTGTATCCTGTTGGTGGATGGATCTTTTCATTTATTCAGTGTCCCTCTCTGTCTCTGGTAATTTTCTTTGCTCTGGAGTCTGATACTGATCTCACCACTCCTGCTTCCTTTGATTACTGTTTGCCTGATATAGCTTTTCATATTCTTTACTTTTATCTTGCCTGTATCGTGACATTTGTAGTGAATTTTTTAAACGGCACATAGTTGGGTTATTTTTTAAAAAATAACTCATGAAATAAAACAGCAAAGGGTCATATTTTCATCATATTTTTTAAAGCCAATCCCTGCCTTTTAATTGATGTACTTAGCCTGTTCACATTTATTCTAATTATTGATATGTTAGGCCTTAGGTCTGACATTTTATTTTCTGTTGTTTTCTCTGTTTTTCGTTTCTGGGGTTTTTTTTGTTTGTTTGTTTTTTAGAATTCTGTTTCAATTTGCTTCTAGTGTTTGTGAGTATATCTCCTTGCTTAGATTTTTTATCCTTGTTTTTGCTTATTTATTTTTTTACTTTTGTTTTCTGACTAGAGCCCCAGAAGAGATGTACAGATTATTTGAGTGATTGTTCCAGGTATTATGTTATATATCCACAACTCATCAATCTACTGGTGTCATCATTTTTCCAGTTTGAGTCAAAGGTAGAAATCTTACCTTCCTTTATGTCCTTACTCAGCCCCTTTTATAACATAATTTTCTTAAGCATTTCCTCCACATTTACACTGATGTAATTTTTGCTTCAGTAATCAAACATAGTTGTACAACTTAGAAAGGTAAGGAAAGCCTATTGTATTTACCTAATTTTTGCTTATTGTAGTTTTTCTTCCTTCCCTATTTCCAAAGTTTGAGAACTTCCTTTAGGGGAGATCTGCTGGTGGTAAATTCTCTTTAGTTTTCCTTCTGAGAATTTCTTGATTTTCCCTTCATTCTTTTTTTTTTTTCTTATTTTTTTTTTATTTTATATTAGTTGGCCAATTAATTTCTTTCTATTTATAATAGAGACGGGGTCTCGCTCTTGCTCAGGCTGGTTTCGAATTCCTGACCTCAAGCAATCTACCCGCCTCGGCCTCCCAGAGAGCTAGGATTACAGGCGTGAGCCACCACACCCGGCCTCCCTTCATTCTTGAAAGCTATTTTTACTGGGTGTAAGATTCTGGTTGAATAATTATTTTCTTTTAGCACTCAAAAACTATAGTGCCACTTCTTCTGGCCTCTGTGGTTTCTGATGAGAAATCCTCTGTCATTCCTACAGGGGAATTGTTTGTCCCCTGTAGGAAAGGTATCATTTTTCTTTGGCTATTTTGAGATTTGGTTTTGGTTTTGTTTTTGAAACTGAGTATCACCTGGGCTAGAGTGCTGTGGTGTCAACCTAGTTCACAGCAACCTCACACTCCTGGGCTCAAGCGATCCTCCTGCCTCAGCCTCTCAAGTAGCTGGGACTACAGGTGTGTACCACCACGCCCAGCTAATTTTTTCTATTTTTAGTTGTCTGGCTAATTTCTCTCTATTTTTAGTAGAGATGGGGTCTTGCTCTTGCTAAGGCTGGTCTCCAACTCCTGATCTCAATTGATCCTCCCTACTCAGCCTCCCAGAGTGCTAGGTTTACTGGCATGAGGCACCATGCTCAGCCTGAGATTTGTTTTATTTTGTTCTATTTTAGTGTTCAGAAGTTTAATTATGAAGTGTCTTGATGTGGATTTCTTTGGGTTTATACTTTTTGGGGGTTTACTCAGCTTCTTAATTCTATAGGTTTATGTGAACTTTCTTTTTTTTTTTTGAGACAGTGTCTTTGCTGTTATCTGGGCTAGAGTGCAGTGGTATCATCATACCTCACTGCAGCCTCCAGCTCCTGGGTTCAAGTGATTCCCCTGCCTCAGCCTCCGGAGTAGCTTGGATTACAGGCTTGGCTGACATGCCTGGCTAAATTTGTATTAATGGAGTCTCACTATTGCCAGGCTGGTCTGGAACTCCTGGGCTCAAGCAATCCTCCCGCCTTGGCCTCCCAAAGTACAGGGATTAAGGCATGAGCCACGGTGCCAGGCCATTGTGCCAAATTTTATAGCCTTTATTTCTTCAAATATGTTTTCAGAGTCTACCCTCTTTCTCTTCTTCCAGGGTGAAGTGAATGTTCTTCCAGGATGACATGAATGTTAGATATTTTGTTGTCATCCCACTGGTCCCTTAGGATCTGTTTTTTGTTTTTTGTTTTTTTGTCTGTTTTCTCTCTGTTGTTCAGACCGTGTAGTTTCAATCTTTCTATCTTCCAGTTCACTGATTCTTTCCTCTATCCTTTCTGTTCTGTTCCTGAACCTGTTCACTGAGTTAACATTTCAGTTATATTTTTCAACTTTCAATTTCACTTCGTTTTTTTTTTTTCTTTTTTTGAGACAGTCTCACTCTGTTGCCTGGGCTAGAGTGCTGTGGCATCAGCCTAGCTCACAGCAACCTCAGACTCCTGAGCTCAAGCAGTCCTCCTGCCTCAGCCTCCTGAATAGCTGGGACTACAGATGTGCCACCATGCCCGGCTAAGTTTTTGTTTCTATTTTTTTAGTTGCTCAGCTAATTTCTTTCTATTTTTTTAGTAGAGACAGGGTCTTGCTCTTGCTCAGGCTGGTTTCAAACTCCTGACCTTGAGCAATCCACCCGCCTCAACCTCCCAGAGTGCTAGGATTACAGGTGTGAGCCACCACTCTTGGCCTCAGTTTCACTTCTAAACTTTCCATTTGACCCTTCTTTACATCCCCTGTTTCTTTGCTGAGACTTCCCATTTGCCATTTGTTTGAGTTGTGTTTGTAATCGCTTGCCAAAGCGTTTTTATGGTGGTGGCTTTAAAATCTTGGTCAGGTCCTTCTAATGATCTGTCATCTTGGTGTTGGCATCTATGGGCTGTCTTTCTTCATTTAGTTTGAGATCGTCCTTATTCTTTGCATAAGTACTTTTTGAATAAAACCCGGACATTTTTGTATCCTGTTATAAGACTCTGGGTCTTATTTAAATCTTCTGTTTTAGCTGCCTTGCTCCTGACACTGCTCTGCCAAGGAGCAGGTGGTGGCACTGTATGAAGGTAGAAGTTGAGGTTCCCCACATGGCCTCCATTAACTGAGGGAGTGACACCTTGTTACCACTGGGCAGTGAAGGTCGAGGCTCCCTGCCTTGCCCTCTAACCCCCTCAGCAGGGAGGGGGAGATGTGCCTCATTACTGGGGGAGGTGGAAGTCCAGGCTACCCCACCATTGGGGCAGGGTTGGAGTATGTGCTTATCACCCACGAGTGGGAGTGTAAGTCTTGGCCCCTTCCTTAGCTTCTCTGACACCATCGGGCAGAGGGTTGGGGTGCCTGTTACAGCTTTGCAAACGGGGTAGTCTAGGCTCCCACTCTGCCTTTGCCAGGGTGGGTGGGTGTGTTTTCAGTGGTGTTGGATGGAGTAGTTATTGCCTAATAGTTTTCTGTCTAGGCTGGTCCTTTGGCTAAATGGGATTTTTTTTGTTGCTGAAGAAGCCCGAAACCTGGGATAGATGAGCCAAAAAGAAAACCTGGGGGAATACACTGCCATGTCATTCCTCAGGTCCCAGAATCCCTAACTGGTCCACCTTCACCTCTCCTTTTCAGAGTCATGCTTAGTTTGATTTTTCTATAATATCCAGGGTTTGTAGGTATATTTAGTGGACGTGCAGGGAAAAATACATCTACTCTACTTCTCAGAAGCAGAAGTCTCAGGGCCATGGATTTTTAGAACCACCACCCTATCCCATGCCTTTGTCGCGAGGATGAAATGAGATGGTACGTCCAGAGTTGGAGTAGTTGCTAGCACACGGTAGAATGCAAGAAATATCAGCTCTCGTGAATCCTGATGGGGAAGCTGGTGTGAGGGAAGCGTGGGTTTACCCCAGATCCCATGGTGCTGTCGGCAGTGGCCGCATGGAGTGGACAGATATGGCGGGTAGCCCGGCAGGCCCTCGGGAAGCCCCAGCCCCTTCTGTCCATGGTGTCTGCGGCGCTGCGGGAGCAGGAGTTCCAGCACTCCTGCCTGAGCTCCTCCCTTCCCCGGGAACAGGCGTGCTTGGGACATGGGGATGGCTACGTTCTCCCTCGGGTCTGAGCCCCACTGGTTTCTGCCAGATTGGAACCTTCACAGGAAGTGTCATGTTTGCTCCCCCTTCTGTTCTCTTTGTCCCCATGCCAGGAGATAGTGGAGCAAACCAGGAGGCGGCGGCAGCGGAGAGAATGGGAGGCCCGGAGGTGAGTTTGCAGGTCGAGCAGCTCCTGGCACCAGGAGCCCCCTGGCACTGGGGTCTGTGCTGCAACTGACGCCTATTTTTTTAATATCTTTTAATTCATTTATTATTTATTAGTTTAGAACCTCTGGGCTGGTAGCTCCAGGAGTGACCATGTGACCACTGCTTTGGGGAAGAGCTCTGGGTTGCCCCCTGGTCCCACGAGTGACAGAACAGCCAGCCCCTGTGGCCTCCCACGTACATGCCATCTGTTAGGGACCATGGCCCTGGCTCTTTATTTTTACTGGGTTTTTCAGATGTAGGTATTTTTATTTTCAATTTCTTTATAAATGAAATAGATGCCAATTATGTAAAATACTTCATAGAACAAAAGTATGAAAAGGAAACTGAGTCATCCATAATTCATCTTCCTATTGCAAATGCAAAAACAAAATCGAAGTGCTTTAAAGTGAAAATATCGGGGATGTTATTCTAGCTTGAGGTGTACGTGCAGCAGTGCCCTCAAGGTGGGTCTCAGGGGAATTCCTTGCTGGATCCATCATGGAAAGTCTCATGGGGCCATCCAGCCAATGTGCCGCCACCCCACTCCATTGGGATGTGCACTCCCACTGGCTGGCCTTGACAGGGAAGGCCACGCCCTCATAGGAGGACAATGTAAAACCATTTCGGGAAGCCTAAGGAAAGAAAAGTGAAAATGATCCATAATCTCACTGCCTAATTCAAAGAGATTCTGCATTTGGATTTGCCTTCCTGGGTTATCCAGACTTGTGCATATTTTACATAATCCAATATGCTTGTGACTTTGCATTGCTCTACTTTATATAACTGGTTTAGATAATTCTGACCAGCCTTTCTAAACTGCACAGTACTTAATTGGCAATTTTCCTTCTTCTTGAAACGTCGGTTATTTCTAGTATTTTTGTCATTACAAATAAGGCTGCAGTGAATAACCGTGCACACAGCAATTTTTGTCTCTCTTGTTTCTTTGAATTGTGATTTTGGGATAATTTCTCAGAAATGGGGCTCTGGAACTACACCACTTATGTCATACCTTACCACATGTGGTTTCTGTTGGTTTCCCAGCATTGTACATATACCTCCTGCTAAAGAGTCAATAAGTAAAAACAAATAGTACCATGATTTAATTTGCATTTCTTCGAATACTGTCAAGTTTTAGCATTTTTCCAAATGTCTCGGCTTCCTGTACTGCTGCTTCCTGTTGAAGGCCTGTGTTTTATGTCATTGCAGAAGAGACATCCTCTTTGACTACGAGCAGTATGAATATCATGGGACATCAGTAAGTGAGAATAGGTGTAACTCCCCAAAAAGTTCTGACTCCAGGGGTCAGCATCCTAAAACCTAAGGAAGGGGCATAGGTTTTAGAGCCACAGAAGCCTAGTTTGAATCTGAGCTCCACAGCTGCCCACCATGTGACCCTGGGCAGGTGTTGCAGCCTCTCTGGGCCTTAAACTCCTCTTCCTCTGTAAAGTGAAGAGAATAATCCTTACTTCAGAGGCAATTGTTAAGACTGTCCCTTACACTCAACAGAACATCAGCTATTATTTTTGTTCATCATCAGAAATACAGAGTGAGTCTGTATTAATCTCTGTGCAAGAAGATAAAACTCTATTGGTGGCTGGGTGCAGTGGCTCACACCTGTAATCCTAGCACTCTGGGAGGCCAAGATAGGTGGATTGCTTTGAGCTCAGGAGTCCAAGACCAGCCTGAGCAAGAGCGAGACCCTGTCTCTACTGAAAAAATAGAAAGAAATTAGCTGGGCAACTAAAAAAATAGAAACAAAAAATTAGCCAGGCATGGTGGCTTGCACCTGTAGTCACAGCTACTCAGGAGGCTGAGGCATGAGGATCCCTTGAGCCCAGGAGTTTGAGGTAGGTTGCTGTGAGCTAGGCCGACGCCACGGCACTCTAGCCTAGGCAACAGAGTGACATTTTTTCTCAAAAAAAAAAAAAAAACTCTATTGGCTTATAACAACACATCAGTATATGTGTTTTGCAGAATAGAATTTAGTGTAGAAAATCTACTCTGTTGGGCTGGGCGCGGTGGCTTACGCCTGTAATCCTAGCACTCTGGGAGGCCAAGGTGGGCGGATCGTTCGAGCTCAGGAGTTCGAAACCAACCTGAGCAAGAGTGAGACCCCATCTCTACTATAAATAGAAAGAAATTAATTGGCCAACTAATATATATAGAAAAAATTAGCCGGGCATGGTGGTGCATGCCTGTAGTCCCAGCTACTCGGGGGGCTGGCTGAGGTAGCAGGATTGCTTGAGCCCAGGAGTTTGAGGTTGCTGTGAGCTAGGCTGACGCCATGGCACTCACTCTAGCCTGGGCAACAAAGCAAGATTCTGTCTCAAAAAAAAAAAAGAAAAGAAAACCTACTCTGTTGACTCTGTTAATGTTGAGCAGAGTACAGGGCCTTAAGGAAGCCTGGAAAATAAGTTTCCAATAAAACATTCTGTATTTAGTCTTAGAATTTGACCCCAGGACGTTGTACATTAAGTACCATATTTCCAGTGTCCCTTTATTGTCATAGGGAGACATGGATCCCCCTTGAGTTCTCCCTAACCAGAACCCCTGCTAAATGCTTCCTTCTGTCCATGGACAGCCCTTTTGGAAAGACCTTCCTCACTGGGAGTCCTGAGGCCCCTCCCACTTTAATGTCCAGAGAACTGGAAGCAGAGCCCTGGCTCACTGGCCTTCCTGGGAGTGTATGTGAGGCTGCCAGCCAACCTGGAGGGGTGCAGGGATGCAGGGCCAGGCAGTGATGGGTCCCCCGACCTCTGGGCTTTGGCACCTGCTTTAGGCATCACTGAGGGACCCAGGGAGATGTGTAGACACTACAGCCCAGTGCTGCATCTGGGCTGTCCCCCCCTGTGTGGCTCACTCTTCTTTTTCCATTGCTGCAGGATCAAGTGTGCAGGCAATGATGAGGAGCTTGCAGAGGAGCGCGTGCAGGGCCACTGAGTTACTCTCAGTCTCCCTCCCTTCGGTTTAGTGTGTACTGGTTCCTCACTTTGGGCTGGAATCCCCCTAAGTGCCCTGGCCTGGCAGACCCTCCATTTACAGGGGCTCAGCCAGGGCCCTGTAGGCTCAGGACTGGCCCCGCTGCATGGCCTGGCTCTGGTGTGTGCCCCTCCATGATCAAAGCTGCCCTTGGCTTCAGGCTTTTCTCTGCTTCTTGCAGTCGGCCATGGTGATGTTTGACCTGGCATGGATGATGTCCAAGGACCTGAACGACATGCTGTGGTACGTAGCCCCTGCAGCGTCTGTGTTGAGTGTCTTGCCACCCAGCCTAGGTCAGTGCCACTTGAGCAGCTCTGTCCTGCAGGGAGGGCACCTCCCTTATCCCCACCAGGAATGTCAGACATAACTCCTTTCTGGGAACGTGCACGACCTTGGTCTTGCTAAGTGTCAGGCTCTGGAGGCTTAACACGAACTCAGGTGTAGGGCGTCAGAGTGCAGAGGGTGAGAGGTGAGGCTTGGGTGCAGCCTAATTTTGCCTTGTGCTTGGCAAATTCAGGTGGCAGGAGTGTGAACTTTGAACAGGGCAGCCCTTGCTAGGCATCTTTGTGGCCTAGGCACGTGGTGAAACTTGATACAGCAAGAACCCTCCTGCCTCTGATTTCGCCGTGTAGGCTGCTGGCTGGGTGCTTGGCACACAGACAAGGAGGCCTTGGCCGGTCATTGTCAACGTGGTGGGTCTAGAAATGGAGTCTGCAGAGCCTTTCTGAGGGAAGAGTGCAGTTCCAGCCTGGATCCCCAACCTCCGCGCTCTGCTGGGCGTCCTGGTCTCTGCAACATGACGGTCTGACAAGGCCCCTCCAGCTCTGACTGTCTGTGGTCTGTGGTTTGTGCAGAACTGGGGCTTCAGAGGAGCTAGGGGGCTGGCATGAGGCAACCAGTAGGCCTGGGGTGCTCTGTCCTCACCTCAGTGTGAGGCTGCCAGCTGTCGCTCAGGCCTCCTCCCTGGACTGCGAGCTAGTGCCTGGCTGTGTGGTCCCAACTGTCCTTGGCCAGGTCACTCCATCCTCTCAGCCTCAGATTCTCCTCCGTGATGTGGAAGTAACAATCCCCACAGCCAGGGTAGGGGTCAGTATCTTGCATAGCCTGTCCAGCAGTAAGGTCAGGTAGGAGTCCCATAGCAGTGACACGCGATTATAAGAGCCCCTCACACCAGAGTGGCTGGCAACCCTGCCCTTGTGGGAAATGAAGGGAGCAGGACGTGGTGTTCACAGTGTGGCTTTAACGGGATACTTCTTGTGCCTGGCGGGTAGTTTGATGCCTAGTTGTCCGACCTGTGACCAGGGTCCCTCCCACGGGACACTTGTTCATATTGGCATATGCCCTGTGGCTCTTGTCGGACCGAATCCAGCTATGCCGGGAGCCCAACCTGGTGTTTCCCTGGCATTCTCGGGGAAACTCGGCCTGGGGCAGCCCCTGGTTCTTCCAACAGAAGGCACAAATTCAATACGCTACAATAAGAAATGAGTTCAAAGATTTTTACTTACAGATCCTGGGCGGGAGGATGGTGGGAGTCAAGAGGGCAGTCTTCTGCATCCAGGTCATGCAAGGCAAGAATGAAGGGTCAGGCAGAGAGAGACACAGGTGGCAATTAGTGGTGTGTCGTGGTCACTTTAGTGCACAGACAAGTGCCTGAATGGTCCTATTAAAGGAAGCAGCTGGAAAGCAGAGAGCCAGGTCTGCCAGGCAGGAGAGATGCCCCAAGTTCTAATTGCTGGCCGCTGGCTTGAGCCGTTTGGGTGTAGCGTTCTACTTCTCACGCCCAGCCATTAGTTGCCATATCATCCTACATGTGCAGCATTGTGGAGCGGGTGGGTGCCTTCAGTGAGCACCTGCTGTGTGCTCAGTGGCACCCTCCACAGCCCCCCACTACAAGCCTATCATTCAGTGGTGATTTCAGGAAGCCCCAGAAACAACACAAGAACAAATGCAAAACAACATGACTCAAAAACGTACATGCAGGAAGGTTGGAACTAGGTGGGGTCCATCAGGGAAGATGGCCCCTCTGGCATTTTCTGAAGAGGTCCCTCTGAGCCACGCTGCACTGGGAGATGCTATGGGGGTGCTGGGGCGCCCACTGCCCCCTGCAGAGGACCTCCCAGGACCTCCCTGCCTCAGTGTGCACAGGGTGTCCTCTGCTGCTCTCAGCTATGAGCCTGGAGGAGGTCTCGAAGGTTGGTGCCTGGTGACCTGGCACAGCTGGGCACAGCCAGGGCCTGGGGCGCTCTTGCTGGGGGCCAGCCCCAGCCTGAGTCTCATCGATAAAGGATGAGCCTGGAGACAGGACCTTTGGAGGTTCTCCAGAGACTTAAAAGATATTACTTTGCACTCCACCTGTTACACTGCAGGACAAACATGCTGATGGGACTAGGATCCACCATGCTTGGGGCAGATGATGGTGAAACAGTGCTGGGACTGCCAGCAGCTGAGCACAGCCTCCATTTGAGTGTTGGGGCCAGGGGATGCTCAGGCAGGGTGAGGACAGAGTGGGCCCACAGGCAGGTAGAACGGCTGGCCACATTGCTACCAATGTCCTGGTCCTGAGAGATTTCCCTCCTGTGAGTGCTTAAAGCCTCCATGGTGGCGGACACTGTACCGTGAGCCCCGAGCTGACCCTCTGACCTCTCCACTGAGAGGGGGCAAGCCACCTGTCTGAGTGTGGGCCAGGCTCTGGCCCCGCTGGCAGGATGCTCCTGGGAGTGCCCAGCTCTAGCTGCCGCTCTACCCCTTGCTCCTGCAGGCCAGCTCCATCACCTTCTCTCCTTGTAGGTGGGCCATCGTTGGACTGACGGACCAGTGGGTGCAGGACAAGATCACCCAGTAAGGACTCGCTGCCCCCACTTCTGGGGCACTGCCTAGCCATGGCCCCTGAGTTTGCCGCAGGGTTACCGTGGGTTCCTATTGGGAAGGAGGGTGCTGGCTCATCCTTGGCCTGGAGCTATTGTCGCTGAGGAAGGGCTAAGGACTGGGACCTTAGCAGAGTTGCTATGGCCAAGTGTGGCCTCTTCATCCACCAGGTGGAGCCAGCAGTGGCAGGAGGGAGCACAGCCTCTCGGCGCCCTTCAATGTGGGTGCTGGGGTGTGGCCTGTGCAGGGAGGCAGGCACAGATGGGCACAGGTGGGCCAGGCAAGAGGAGGGGTGGGGGCCCCAGCTGGGGCATGTGGGTTCGATCCAAAAGGCAAGGGGAGGGCTGGGGAGGGTTTTGAGAAGGTCTGGCTGCCTCAGAACTCGGACGCTCGGGAGGGCTCCTCTGGTGACCTCTAGGGAACCAAAAGGGACCTTGACCATGTGATGCTTACCCCCTCCTAGGGGACCATACAGATGTCTCCAGGCTGTCACCTGGCACAGCCCCTACCTGGGCACTGCACTCTGTGCCTTCTGTTTCCTGTATCACTGCCCTGCCTCCGTTGAGTCCTGTAGTGTGGCCGTGGGGCCTCAGACCTGGGGCCGCTGCCCAGACGTGTACACCTTGGCACAGCCCACCGCCCTGCTGGGCCTCAGTCTTCTCCTCTGTTAACAGTAGTGTGGGGTTTGCACATAGATAACTTAGGGTCCAGAGAGAGCGGTGTGTGCAGTGCCAGGCCTAACCCTGGCCTATGCTGTCCCCAGGTGAGGTCCTGCTGGCACCATCCTGGTCTGAGGCACTTTGGGACTGGGGTGGGGCCTGCCCACTCCCACTGTGCTCGGTAGCACTTCCTGTGCAGTCTAGAGTCTGCACGCTCTGCTGTGGTTCCTGCCACTGATGGGATCCGTCCACTTGCCTGGGTGGGCTGGCGGGCAGGGCTGTGGCCTCTGCAGTATGCACCCCCAGGAAGCATCAGATGAGAGGACAGAAGGTGGTGTGAGGACAGAAGCCAACCATGCCAGCTTTCAGGTCACATTTCCTGGCTGCTTTGTTTCTATGCAGAAACCAAGAAGGTTTCTATGCAGAAGGTGGCCGAGCCTCCTGGGTCCTTACACGGGACAGCCCGAAGAGTGGGCAGGCCCTAAGGGTGGAGGGAGCCCAGGCCCAGGCCTGTGACACTTTCTTTTCAGGATGAAATACGTGACTGACGTCGGCATCCTGCAGCGCCACGTATCCCGGCACAACCACCGGAACGAGGACGAGGAGAATACCCTCTCCGTGGACTGCACGCGGGTCTCCTTTGAGTACGAGTATCTTTGCAGCTTGGCCAGAGGGGTGCAGAGAGCACCCCTGCCTCCGATGTTTGGCTCAGCAGGCACTGTTGCTTTGTCACCCTCAGTGGGCTCTAGCCCATGTCCCTTGTGGATGGCGTGTATGCAAGTGGCACGACTGTGGCTGCCAGGAACTCAGGAGGGGCAGCAGGTGGGACATGTTGTTTCAGGAGGAGGGCTGAGGGGTGCTGTCCCAGCTTGTCTGTTTGGCTGTGGCTCCTAATGCCAGAGCTGGGTTTGGAAGTATCACCCTTTTCCAGCACGACCCTACTAAGTGCTAGACACAGGGTGGCAGTTCAGTGAGTTGGGAACGAAGTGAGCCAATTTGTAATTACGGAGCTTGACATTTCTGGAGCATTGATGGAGTGCCCAGGAAAGACCAGGGGAAGGACACATCTCACGCTGAGTCTTAGCCACACGGGGTAGTTGGGGGGTGCACGGTGGGCATGGGGAGGGCTAGCGAAACAGATGAGGTGGACAGGGTTGAGTACAAAGGAGGCTGGAGCATGTGACCTTGTGAGCCTAAGGCAGTGGGAGGTCCCAGGGTGACCAGTTCAGTTCAGCGTTTTAAAAGGTCCCTTGGCTACCCAGTAATGATAGGTGGGGGCAAGGAAATGGTCACGGCCGTCCCAAAGACACATGGTGGTAGCTCTGGCCAGACTGCAGCAGTGGTTGTCAACAGTTGGGTGGAGTGATGGAAGGATGGAGCTGCCCTATCCCTGCACTGGGACGGCTGGGGAGGACATGAATGTGGCAACGTCAGGAGTGAGGCGCCCATGAGGGCCTAGGGAGGGGGCCAGAGCTGGCTGTGGTGCTGGCCAAGCAATTGGAGGAAAGGACTGTGGTGCGTGGGATCCCTCCTGACATGTTGGGGATGGGGCGTACTCGGGGCACCATGGGGCGGAGTGACTGAGGAAAAGGCAGGGAGTCAGGGAGCTGAGGTCCAGACTCCAGGATGCCAGGTAGAAAGGAAACCACCAGAGGGTGGGCAGGGAGGATGGTGGCCCTAGAGCCCAAGAGTGGGGAGGGGCAATGGTGAGGACCAGGTGTGCCGAGTGTCTGGGGGAGCAGTGGCAGGGCCAGCCTCGTGACCTGTGGAGGAGAGGTCTGTTGTGGGGGTTGGTCCCTGCTCATAGCTGCGTGCACGGTGGCAGCCAGGGGCAGTGGGGGATGTATTCAAGAAGGGGGTGAGGACTGGGGTCAATGGCTCACACCTGTAGTCCCGGCACTTTGGGAGGCTGAGGTGGGAGGATGGCTTGAGACCAGCCTGGGCAACATAGTGAGACCCCAGCTCTACAAAAAATTTAAAAACTAGCTGGACATGGTGGCTCCAAGTGCTGCCAGGCATGGGTCCCTGTGGGGTGGGCTCGTGAGGCACCACTGCATGCTCCTTGACCGCAAGCCCAGCCTCCGCCTGGCACTCTACCAGCACTGGTCCCTCCACGACAGCCTGTGCAACACCAGCTACACCGCGGCCAGGTTCAAGCTGTGGTCTGTGCATGGGCAGAAGCGGCTTCAGGAGTTCCTGGCAGACATGGGGTGAGTGACCTCCTGGCCCCACCCACCCCTGAGGGAAGAGATCCTCTCCTTTGGTTTGACCAACTTGGTTGTAAAATGCAGCTGCCGCCTGTTCTGCCGTAAATAGAAAAACACCCTGGATCCTGGAGTATCATCTTGACGCATGTGCTGAGGCATCCTCGTTTGCCCTGGTCTTTGGGGCACTTTCCATCCTGTTTGGCTGTGTGATCTCACTCACATGCATGGGCTTGCTCTGTCTTTCCAGGCTTCCCCTGAAACAGGTGAAGCAGAAGTTCCAGTCCATGGACATCTCCTTGAAGGAGAATTTGAGAGAAATGATTGAAGAGTCTGCTACTAAATTTGGGTAAGTGCACATTTTTCTGGATTTAGCTTTAAAGTGAAGGCTTCTGCTTTAATGCTACTAAAGTAATGCAGAAAACCCTAGAATATACAAGTAGTGAGCATTATCTGACTGTGGCCCTTCCTAAAGTTTTAGTTCTTTTAGGCTTGAAAATAGGACTTCTTAAAATACCCGGGAGGTTTAGCATCCTTAAACCCTGAGGCTGTGGGATGAACCTGTGAGGTCCATGCAGCCCCTTCTTGCTGGAGACAAGAAACCAGCTGCTAGGGCCAGGGTCAGACAAGCTCTGCCCAGGTCCTCAGGCACCCTGGCTGCCCTGCTAGCTGGCATGCTGGGGCACAAGACAGGACCCCACACAGCCCCTGGCCAGACGGGCTGACTGTCCCGGCCCGCTGAGCAGCTGTAGACAAGGAGGAGCTTGACATCTTTGTGCTGCAAGGCTGGTGTTCTGGGCGTTCTGACCTGTCAATAAAATGTGACAGTTGTTCTCTGAGCAGAGTGGTTGTGCCTAGAGTTTCAGAGTGGGCTGGTGAGGGACATTAGTGTGCCAGATGGCCTGACCCAGTGGCAAGAGCTCACCCACAAGTTGAGGGGGACAGCCACGTTGCTTCTTCCCATGACAGGATGAAGGACATGCGCGTGCAGACTTTCAGCATTCACTTTGGGTTCAAGCATAAGTTCCTGGCCAGTGATGTGGTCTTTGCCACCATGTCTCTGTTGGAGAATCCCGAGAAGGATGGCTCAGGAACAGATCACTTCATCCAGGCTCTGGACAGTCTCTCCAGGTAGTGGGATGTGGCCGTGGGCTGCTGTCCCCAGGGGGCCACCGCTGGTCATCAGCCTCACTCTGTCCAGGGAGGCAGGTTTGGGGACCCCAGGGCATGGGAGTGGCTGTGTCCTAGAACCCACTCGTGGGAATCAGAATCCCAGCACCAGAGCAGGGTGCACGCAACACGCTGCCTGCCTCTTCAGCTTGCCTTGCTTTCTCTCAATCCTTTCCAGCTCCTTTTTCTTTCTGATTTTTAAAATTTTCTTCTTTTTTCACCTTCTGTATCTCTTAAAGCATTATTTTTTGTGTTTACTCATTCTTGTGTTTCTTCTTGTTTCTGCTTTGTTTCTCACTTAGTTTTACTTACTTACTTATTTATTTATTATTGTGGACGAGGTTCTGGGTCCCCAAGAGAGGGGGGCCCAGAAGTCGCCCTACTTATTTATTTTTGAGATAGAGTCTTACTCTGTCACCCAGGATAGAGTGCCGTGGTGTGATCACAGCTCATGGCAACCTCAAACTCCTGGTCTTGAGCCATCCTCCTGCCTCAGCCTCCTGAATAGCTGGGACTATAAGTGAATGCCACCGTGCCCAGCTAATTTTTCTATTTTTAGTAGAGATGGGGTCTCGCTCTTGCTCAGGCTGGTCTCGAACTCCTGGCCTCAAGTGATCCTCCTGCCTCAGCCTCCCAGAATGCTAGGATTACAGGTGTAAGCCACTGCACCTGGCCTTATTTTTCTTTTATTTCTAATCCTTTCTTATGTCACTTCCTAAGTTGTCCCACCTTATTTTTTCCACGTCTTTTAGCTTGTTTTGAAATAAAATGTGACAGTTTTGATTTTGTTTTTTTGGCATGTCTTTCTAATGTCAAACTAAAAAAGGACATCATAGAAAAATGTCTCCAAGTATAATGAATTTATTCAGGAATTAGAAAAGAGGATTCTAACCAAGATGCATGGCTACGGTACATGTGCAGCTGAAGAGTGGAGGGCTAAAGGGAATCTTCTATTGGCAAAAAGAGTAGTTCACATAAGCTGGTTGGAAACACAGTTCATTGATTTCGGAGACTCAAAGCCAGAGCTGGCACGAGTTTATTGGTGGAGGTGCCGTTAGTGGACAGGTATTCTTTCCAGAGCATCTTATCTGAATGCTGCAGTCCCACAGAGGGGATTTCTTGTGGGGTTATTTTAGAAAGTCCTCAAGACAGTCTTATCTCAGATGTGCAAGCAGGAGCTTTCTGGCTTCAAGCTTTCCTGGCTCTAATTTTTATGGGTCTGACAAAAAGTGAGTTCACCCTGGGATCTGCACCTTTGACACTAATGGACTGTCATTGTCCAGAGAGATGTTATTTTGTTTCTATTTTCTTTTTTCTGATAGTGACTTTGAGGAGATTTGACCTTGGTACTTCTCTGGTACTCATTTGTGAATTTTGTTTCCCTGATTTTTTAGGAAGAGGCATGTAGTCCCTGCTTTTCGGGAGGCTGAGGCAGGAGGATCACTTGAGCCCAGGAGTTTGAGGTTACAGTGAGCTATCATGACACCATTGCACGCTAGACGGGGCAATAAAGCAAGATGATTCTATCCAAAAAAAAAGAAAGAGAAAGAAAAATTAATCAGGCATGGCGGGACACATTCGTAGTCCTAGGTACTTGGAAGCTAAGGTGGAGGATCACTTTAGCCCAGGAGTTCAAGGCTGTAGTGAGCCACCTGTACTCCAGTCTGGGTGACAGAGCAAGACCCTGTCTCAATCAATCAACAAACAAACAAACTGCACTTGGTGTCGGGGCACAGCTCACCGGCTGAAAGACGTTGCTTCATCTTGTTGGGTGGGATGCTGACTGTGACACTTTGGGACTCCTGACTAGGGCACAGAGGCTTTGCTTAAGGACCCTGCTTCTCCAGAGAGGATTCATTTCATGCATTCAGAGGGGAACCTTCCCTTTTAGGAGGAAGAGTAAAAGTCCATCTGTGGGAAAGGGTCCCCCGTCCTCCTCTGTCAGAGGCCTGCGGGCACCTTCCTGGGCCCTCCACTGCGGGATTCCCTCTCTTGGCTCTCAGTGTCCTCTGTTCTGAGGCCAGCATCTCTCCTCACCTCTTGTTTATATCGCTGTGGGTTTGTGCATTTTTTATCCCTTTCTTTCACTTGAAAGGAACTCAGAAGGGAGAGAAGATCACCTGTTATCCCCAGACCCCCTCCTAAACCAGGAACCACATGTCTTCAACAAACAACACCAAAGCCGTGTGTCTGCCCCTTTGCAGGAGTAACCTGGACAAGCTATACCTGGGTCTGGAGCTCGCCAAGAAGCAGCTGCGAGCCACCCAGCAGACCATCGCCAGCTGCCTCTGCACCAACCTCGTCATCTCCCAGGGGCCTTTCCTCTACTGCTCCCTGACGGAGGTCAGGCTCCCCGGGGGTACATGGGGCCAGGCCACGCCTGCTGGTAGCATCCTTTGACCGTTTCTCTCCCTCCCCAGGGCACTCCTGATGCCGCACTGTTCTCCAAGCCGGTGTCCCTGAACCTGCTCAGTCGACACCTGCTCAAGTCCTTTGTGTATTCGGTGAGGAGCCTCATGGGGGATGCCGTGGGCACAGGAGGGCACCCCGGACAGGTGTTAGACGCTTAGTCTTGGGGTGGCCGTTCACCAGCTGCCAGACCTGGGGAAATCCCTTACTCTTTCAGAGCTGCATTTCCTCAGCCAACCCCTAGGCACCGTCCAGTTCTCACAGCAAGTCGGTGGGGGGAGGAGGGAGGGGCCCAGGCGAAGCATGCGGGGCTGGGGCTCGCGTCCCACAGTGGCAGGTCAGGGAGGGCGGGCTGGTCATAGCACAGACTTGCTGAATCTGTCTTCTAGGCTAACTTTCTGTGCGCGGCTTTGCCTTCTATGTGGCTCAGCACCCTTCTTTGTGTTGGCCCGGCGTGGACAATCACTCAGCTGGCATCGGGCAGGGGTCCGTCCCCAGCTGACACTGGGCTCTTCCAGGCTGCAACTGTGCAAATACCGGTCCACATATTGCCATAATCAAAGTCTTACTCTGCTTTGAGGATGAGGGTTCATGCCAGGAGCCATTTTGAACGAAATACATGGCAGGAAGTTGACACTTTCTTGTTCTGCTAAGCTAATCAATAAAGAGATGATACGAATGCTCTGTGAAGTCAATCGGGTGATGCTAAAGATGAACAAGAGACAAGACGTGAGCTCTGAAGTCCTCTAGGCTGGGTTTAAATCCCATCCTCATTCACCAATTGTGTGACAGGAAGTAGATTACCTGACCTGAGCTTCAGTTTCCCTGTCTATAAAATGAGTGAATAAGTGTCTGCTTCACAGAGTCCATTCGTTTATCAGACATTTATTGAGCAGCCACCACCTGCTTGGCCATGCCGTCGCAGGGACTGGCTGGCCTGGGTTGCATCCTGGACAAATCAGACTGGCCGGCCGCCTGGGTCATAGGTATAGGTGCCTCCAGTACAGCAGTCAGGGAGACGCTCAGTCTGCACCCTGTGGGAGCACACAAGCAGGCCAGGGGGTTTCAGCTGGGGACACGCACCACAGGAGGATGGGGCGAGACAAGGTGGGGAGTAGGGGGGGGCTCCTGGGGAAGGTGTGGCAGGAGGTGCAGGAGGGGACAGTGGTGCAGAGCCCCTGCGAAGAGCAGCCATGGAGCAGTGGGTAGGACCAGTGTACAAGGAACCAACCTAAGGGACACAGTGTCACAGCCTAAGCATGACAGTGCAAGGACCGGAGTACCTCCTCTCGGAGGCCTTGGGGAGCAGGGTGGCTTGGCACTGCCAGGGCTCTGGGTGCTGAGTGGTGAGCTCAGGCCCACCATACCCTACCTGGCTGCCCTTTGTCTCCACAGACAAAGAACCGGCGCTGTAAGCTGCTGCCGCTGGTGATGGCCGCCCCACTGAACGCAGAGCAGGGCACCGTGACCATGGTGGGCATCCCTCCAGAGACCGACAGCTCGGACAGGAAGAAGTGAGTGGGTTGTCCTTGTCCAGGGCTGGGTGTGGGGGCCTGGCACATCGGCCCAGCAGCCTGCTGAGTAGAGCAGTGTCTATCCCTGGCGTCTGTCTTGGGGTAGCGGCGGGGAAGGGTCTGTTGCAGGTGGCCTGGCCCCCAACGTGTCTCATGTGTCCACAGCTTTTTTGGGCGGGCGTTTGAGAAGGCAGCGGCAAGCACCAGCTCCCGGACACTGCACAACCATTTTGACTTCTCAGGTGAGTCTCCCGCCAATTGACGTCCTTCTCCCACACACTGCTCCCAGGTCGGCACTGCTGCAGGTGCCCAGCCAGCTGCCCTCTCGTCCCCTGGAACTAGCCCTGGTACAGGCTACTCCAGGTGGCTCAGGGCCCCTCAGAGAGAGAAAAGGTGTTTCCCGGGGAGTGACAGGTCCCGCTCTGGCCTTCGGGCCTCACTGGTCAGGGTTGTCCACTTCTCTTAGGGGAAGGGAATAGTGCAGCCTGTAGCCACCCAAGGGTGCCACCTCCAAAGCTGTGCCAGCCACCTCCACACTGGCCAGGGCTCTGTGTCGCCGTGATGGGTCCTGCCTGTGTACTGGCTCAAGCACTGGCCCCACCTGTATGTCAGATGGGCCCAGAGTGGAAGGGCCCTGGCCAGCAGCGCTTCCCCAGATGCCAGCTTGGAGCTTGGTTCACATTTGGCCGAATCTGGCTTTTTATTCTTGTTCACAGGTTTTAAAGTAAAAAGACTTCTGACACTTCAGCCCCTACATTAGTTTGCTGAGGCTGCCATAACTAAGTGCCAAGACTTGGTGGCTCAACCAGTTATTTCCTGTCGGGCCTAGAGGCAAGAAGGCCAAGGTCAAGGTGGGCAGGGCTGGTTTCTCCTGAGCCTTGCTCCTGGCTGTGGACGGCCGTCTTCTCGCTGTGTCCTCATCTGGTGTCTCTGTGCACACATCGCTGGTATCTATGTGTCCAGATTTCCTTCTCTAGGGACACCGGTCAGATTGGATTAGATCCCACCTTAATAACCCCCTTTGAACTTAATTGCCTGTTTAAGGACCCTGTCTCCAAATACAGTCACATTCTGAGCTAGTAGGGGTTAGGGCTTCTACATAGGAATGTGGGGGCACACAGTCTGCCTATAACACCCCTCGGCATCTTTCAGAAAGGACATTTTCTTGCTTCACCACCACCCGATTCCTCACCAATGACAGATCACTGTCTCAGGAGACCCAGTCTTTCTTCACGTTGCCGCAGCTGTCTCCAAGCTGGTTCGAGCCAGGCACAGTCACGGCCGGGGCCTGGGTGGTGTCGGTTCACCCCGAGAGCAGTAGCCCCTGCTGGCCGTTCGTGCCTGAGATGTGTGAGAGGTTGGCACCTATGGCCTTGCTTCCACAGGGAGGAGTCGGGGCCGAGCTGCCTGGTTTACCCTGAGAGTGGAGAACCAGGGCTGGGGGTGTAGAGTGAGCCTGGCCAGTGCCTACCTGGACCTGGGGCTCCCAGGGCTGTGGCTGGCGGCGTGGACCGCCCCCAGGACCAGGCCAGACCCTTCTCGGGACCTGGTTTTGCCCTGTGTGCTGAAGGCCTGTGACTCAGCCAAGCATGATGGCCCTGTGAGATGCAGGCAGCTTGCAGTGTGTCCCCTTGTGTGGAAGGGGCACTGAGGCTGAAGGTGGCCTGCCCACCCGGGGCTTCCCTCAGCCTATGTGGGGCGGGGGTCTGTGCCTGGCAGGATGGGCAGGCCCAGCCCTGCCCGGGTCTATGAGGCTCTGAGTCATCACACCCGCATGTCCCTCTGCAGGCTGTGACTGCTGGACTCCAGAGGGCCCTCCCCATAGGCCCCAGCTCTGGCCTCTCCTGGCACAGCCAGCACTTTTGAAATTAAATACAGCGGGACGGGAGAGGCGACCCATTGGCCCAGAGTGCCCCAGGCATGGGGGCCTGTGCAGCTGGAATGTGGCAGCTTGTTCTGGCCAGGGAGGGGACAGAGGGAGTTCCGTGCCTTGCCTTGTTTTCCCACTCCTCCCTCTCACAAAGTGTTTTTCTTTCATTACTTCAGTGATGGAGCTGAAAGCTGAGGATCGGAGCAAATTTCTGGACGCACTTGTTTCCCTCCTGTCCTGAGGGTGAGTTATACAGGGTCCTCGGGTGGTGGGGTGCCTACCACATCAGACCCTGACACCTTGTGCCCCTCAGCAAAGGCTTCTACTCAAGTTCAGAAGGAGCAGGTTCTCGAGGAGATTTGTTTGAGGCCAGCACATTTTTCCCAGTCATGTCTGTCCCTGGGCTGCCAGCAGGGCCACAGTGGGGCATTTCTGAGGAAGCTAGTTTCATTAAGCCCCTGTGATCCCTTCAGAAAGAACTGGCATTTACCCCCTGCCAGCCATGCTGTGGGGCTGGGCACTGCGTGTGCAATGCGTGTGACACACAGACTCCCTGGCACTGCCCTTGTGGCTGCCTGGAGCCTCCTGCCCCACAGCCTTCCTGCCAGAGCCCGGCGGGAGCCTACAGAGCGGCCATCTGGGGGCCTTTGTGTGCTCGGGCCTTGAGAAAGCAGAGCTGTAGGCAGCTGCCCCTGAACATGGAATTGCAAAACATGGCTCTGCTTCGGACTTCTCGGCACACGCTGTCCTGAGGGGCCCTGTCCAGAGTCGTGGACAGGTTGCTGTGGCCCAGGCTGCCTCCCCCTGCCCCACACACCACCTCTTCCTTGAGGAGCCCCTGGGGAAACGGGGGGGTGGGGGGGGGCTCGTTCTGTGTCTGTGTGACCATCCCTCAGCCCAGGGCTCCACAGTGGGTGCCAGATCCAACCTACGTCTCCCTGAGCCCTCGGCTGCAGGCTGACCGTGACACAGCGGGTCCCCTTGCACCAACCCATGTGCTCCATCTGTGCAAGGCTGGAGCCATGGGGGCAGGCGCCTGTTCCCCCGTCAGGGCCAGAGGAGGCTCTGCTGAAAGTCCTGTAGTCTTTCTCTCGGGGAGGCCTGGGCTGCAGGGGACCCCGTGTTGGGGCAGGGGCTCTGGTCAGACCCTTGGGGTTTTCTGAGGGATCTGTCGGCCCCCTGGCAGGGACTTTGGGCTAGGCGCCTAATTTGGTTGAACCAGCAGCATCCAAAAATGAGGCTGACACCCTCCTTAGACAATGAACATGGTGTGTCAGCACAGGACCCCCAAGGGTGGACAGAGGTGTCAGGTCACAAGTGAGGCTCTCAGGCAGTGGAGCCAGCATCGGAGCAGATGCCCCCCCACCGACCTCACAGCCTACTTGGTGGTGACGCCAACACTGCTGTGGCTGTCCTGCCCTGAGGCAGGAGTGCAGTGGGCCAGGCTGGGGAGGTGGAGGGTGAGGAGCAGAGTGCTAGGGGGAGGGGAGACTGGCTGTACAGGGGAGAGGCCGTGCATGGGCACCTGAAGGCTGGCCCAGGCCAGACACGCACCTAGATGGGGCCCTCTTGGCGAGGAGGTGCTGGGGTGCAAGGGCACTGGGGCTCCAGTGGAGGACAGCCCAGACCCAGGCAGGGGTGCTGTGGGGAGTAGCCCTTGCCCCTCACCCCTGAGGGGTCGAGGCTGTGTGTCGAAGCAACAGCCCTGAACATCAGTAGGAAGGCTGGGGCAGTTTGTTTAACTTGGGGAGATATCAGAATTGTTTGATACTTATTTTTTCTTTTTTTCTTTTCCAGAATTTGATTCCTTCAGAAACAACCTCCTCCTCCTTATTTATATTAACTGGCTTTTATTTAGATTGTAAATCGTGGACATGGTCTGCTTTGCAGGGGCAGTGGGTTTTAATGGAATAAAATGCTTGTTTTAGGTTCTGTTCCCTGTCTTGGCTCTGGTTGAGAGGCCCGTGCTTGGGTGTGCCCTGAGCCCTCTGTGGGTCCGGGGAAGCCTTGGCCCTGTGCCCTGGGTGCTGAGGCCGTGCCGGCAATCAGCATGGGTGTGTAGCCCCCACTTGGCCCCACGGACGAGCTCTCCCCACCCTGTCCTCCAGGCCCCTCATTGCACCTGCGCTTCCTGCTGCCCAGCAATGCCAGCTGGCGCCTGCCTCTGTCGCCCCGGCCTCAGCAGCACGGCAAGTCCACCCTCTTGGCTGCCACCGCCCACCCGGCCCAGCACCTCTCCAGGTGCCATGTCCCTGCAGGCATGCTGTGGACACGCCGCAGGCAGAGAAGGGACAGCATGGGGAGACCTCAGGCTGGGAAGGGGAAAGCCCAGAAAAAGTGGCCTGGAAGTGAGGACACAGCGGGTGGGGCTAGGTCTCAGTACAGCCCTTAGGAAGGGACAGTGGGACCAGAGTGGGGTTGGAGGCACTCCACTCCCGTCTGTGGTGGTGGAGCTTGTCCCTGCCCCTTCTGGCATGGGTCAGGTGGGTGGTGGCCAGACTCTCAGGCCCTCAAAGCTGTCCACCCTAGCCATTTGGAATAACTGTGCAGCTGCCCTTCTGTGCCCTTCCTTTCTTGGGAAAGGGGCTGTGTGGGATGCAGCCCTCCCGGGCAGCCTTGAGACCAAGCTCCTGGCTGAACACCCTGGACCCAGCACTTCCCGGCCCCACTGGCCAGGTGCCATAGTATGAGGACCATTGCTCCCGGCCCTGCCCAGGGTCACAGCTCCAGATCACATGCTCCCAAGTGTGGGGACTGCTCTTGGTCCCTGCTGCAAGGCCCAGGTGGGGCTGTGCATTAGGCCTGCCGAGGACCTCTGCACCCCAGGACCCATCCTGCTGTAGCCCATCCCACCTGCTGGCTCCATCTGGACTCCCAGGAAGCTGATACCGTGTCCACAGCAGTTGCCCTGAGCCCCTCCAAGCCCACATCCTTGGGGTTCTTGCCCTTCCACACGCTGCGGAGCCTGGCTAGGCCTGGGAGACTTCCTGCCGCTAGATGTGGCCCAGGCATTTCTGGGCAGGGCCCCCAAGGCCAGGGTTGGGGGCAGGTACCAAGCCTTCCTGCTGGCTGGGCTTGGAGCCGTTCCCTGCAGCCCCTGCCCCCGTCCACTGCTCTGTTCTGTTTCTAGCTTTTTGGCAAAAGGTAGGAATCCGTTAATTCAAAGCGCCTACAACAGGGCTGGAAACAATGTGCTCTCAGTGGTGCACTAGATGGCCTTGCCCTGTCCTCCTGAGACCTCCATCCCCAGATGCCTGGCTGGAGCCAGTGCTGGCTCCCAGGGCCCCCCACAGGGTGCTCCAAGCAAGGGTAGGCACAGAGGTACTGGGGGTTGGCACCAGTCTGGGCTGGCTGCCAGGCCAGCAGGGTGGGCACAGGCCCTGCACAGAGCCACGCTGTGACTGGCAGAGAAGCCAGGACAGGGGCCTGGAGCCAGGCCGAAGCACTCTGGGCAGCCAGCCGCCAGCGCCTCCTCCCCATGGCAACGCCACTGTCGACCTGCAGTGAGCTCTGCTGGAACCAGCACACATCCTGGATTCACCCTGGCCCTGCCCTGCCATTAGAAAGGGCCTGTCAGTGTACAGATGTCCGTGGCCACTTGAGAGGACCTGGAACTAAGCAAGCGCTGGGAGGGCTGGTGGAAAACATCACCCTGTGCTGTGTGGGTCGGGGCACTCTCCCTGGGAGAAGCCAGCAGCTTCTTCCCACCCTCAGCACTTCCCTGGCCCAAGACTCCCACTCATGGACCCTGGCAGGGGTTCCAGCCTGCATCCTCCACTGGGGTCTGCCTCTACCCCCACCCCTGTCCCAGCCAGGCCCTGTGACTCAGTAGTACTCTACTGCCAACCTCACCTACCTGGGTGGCAGTCGGTGGGTGGTGGCTGTATCTCCCACCAGATGGAAGAGTGGCAGAGGGGACTGGGGAAAAGGCCAGGGGCCAGCCCAGAAGGAGTCAGCAGTGGGTGGACAGGAGGTGACTGGACAGAGAACAGGCACACAGGTGGGAGAGTATTCAAACCATTTACTAAGCAAATTCTTAACCTCCCACTCCCACCCCACAAGCCGCAGAGGAGGACAGGCCCCAGCTCCACGCTCTGGCGCCCACAAGCCTTGCCTGGGGAGCTGCTGGAGTGAGACAGGGAAGTTGGTCCCTTGGGCTCAGTCCGTTGGTCCTCTGACAAGCCCCGCTGATAGGGTAAGGCCAGCTGCACACAACCCTCTGGCAGCCCAGGCTGGGCCCGAGCTCTCCATTGCCCCTCTGGACTCAGTAGGAGCCACTGAGGAGTTAGGCAGCAGCCAAGACCCCCAGCGCCAGGGAAGGAAGTGGTATCTTCAGTCTGGTGCCCCCTTTGCCCATGGAATCCCAGCAGGGCGCACAGAGAAGGAAACTGACCAAGTCCTCACGAGTGCGTGCGGTCTGATCAGGGCAGAGCCTGGCCACTGGCGGCGGGAGAGGCCAGGCTGCGGGTGCCTGCAAGAGCCTGTCCACGGGCTGCGTCTTGCGCTAAGCCGGTCGTCGCTCGGAGACTGCGCTGCGCGCCCCGGCGGAGGCCGCAGTCTACGCGGGGCTCCCAGGTGGCTCCGACGGCTCGAGGGCGTGGCTGGCGGGAAGGGTCCCGCCGTGCCTGGCGTCCTCAGACGTAGTTCTTCTTGTCGTAGTCGCCGCTGGCCGCGGGCCGCCGCGGCACCGAGTACTTGACCGGAAAGCTGAGGTCGGGGCGGCCGGCGCAGACCCAGGCGCCGCAGCACACTAGCCCGCCGCCGCACATGAGCAGCGCCGAGGCGGCCCAGCCGATGTATAGCGCCGCGCCCAGCTCGTACTTCTGCGACATGGGCACCGTGGGGTCGTAGAACTCGCGGACCACGATGTTGGCGAACCAGCAGAGCGGCACGAGCGCCAGCAGCCCACAGAGCGCGTAGAGCGCGCCGCCCGTGAGGGCCACGCGCGCCTTGCCCGGGCCCTGGGCCACGCAGGTGGTGCACTGCGCGCCCGCCAGGGTCACGAAGAGCGCGACGAGCGACAGCAGCACGGCGCTCACGGTGAGCGCCCGCGCCGCCTGCACCTCGGTGCTCAGCGCCAGCACCGAGTCGTACACCTTGCACTGCATGTGGCCGGTGCTCTGCACCACGCACGACATCCACAGCCCCTTCCAGGTGGTCTGCGCCGTCACGATGTTGTGGTCCAGGAAAGCGGTCACTTGCCACATGGGCAGCCCGCACGCCAGGATCAGGCCCACCCAGCCCACCAGGCACAGTACCAGGCCCAGGATCTCCAATGCTGCCGACCCCATGGCTGGAGGCCTGCTGGCGGGCGCGGCGCTGCCTGGGCCGTGCCACTCGGCGCGCGTCCTGGTGCCTATGCGTCCGCTCGCCACAGGGTACACTGTAGCACCGCTTCGGGTCTGCGGACACCTGGTGGGGGGGCTCTCTACTTGAAGGCTCGGGGGGCGGACTTCGTGCTCCGGGCCCGGCCCCCCGGCCGGAAGCAGCCAATCCGCTTGCGGGCCGTCGTCCCACAGCCAATCACAGGCTCCGCGGCGGCCGGAGTTGGGGAAACGGCGCTGGGGGTAGCTGAGCTCGCTGGACCCTCGGAGCTCGGCCGCGCCCCAACCCCACCCGCAGTTGTCCCAGGCGCCGTGAGTGCATTCCCATCTGGTTTGGGGCGCGCTCCGTGGTCCACCTCCCTGCATCTCCAGGCTCAATCACTTTGGCCACTCTCTGCCTGCACCCTCCACTTCCAAATCCCCGACCAATGGCCCCTTCCGCACGGGCCACCTCCACTCTTCCCTGACCAGGGTCTGCGGGAGCCCCCGCCGCGTCACCACTGCGCGGAGGCCGGCCTGGAGGGCTCTCGCGGCGCACAGCTGGGCCTCCCTCCAGGAAGTCCGCCCTGGAATCCTCTCTCTCCCTAGCTTACTCCCAGTCCCCTCCGAGTCCGGCACTGCCTCTCCCGCCCTATCCAGGCGAGATGCCCGGAGGGTCGGGCCCAGGCGCCCGGCCTCACCACGCACACCATCCACCCTGGAGCCTCTGCCGGCACAGGGGCCTTTCCACTGCCTGGAGACCCTGTCCCCTGCTGAGGGCTTCCCAGACCGCTCAGCCGCTCCTCTCCTTGCGCTGCTGCCCAGCCCCCATCTTTGGTGCCCAGTGAGCAGCCCACGGGCTGTGCTCCCAGGAGCACGGTGGCCCCAGTCTTGGTGGCCTGCTCTGGCCCTCAGACAGGAGAGACACAAAGGGACACGAGAGGCTGCGCCCTGCCCTCCCACCAGTGGCAATGGCGCCCCTGGCAACCCAGCCCCCAGACCGCCCTCCGGAAGCCAACTTGGAGTTTCCTGGCCAGGAGGAAGAGCCCCCATTCTTGCTGGAGGAGGGAGGCACGGGATTTCCGGGCATTCTTCTGCACAATGGCCCAGCCATTTCTCGAAAGGTCCACTAGGGTGGACACTCCAGCCCCCCTGAGGCTCAGGTGGGGGCGCCAGGCCCTGAGTCCTGCAAGCCCATAGGGGCACCAGCCCTTTGCTCCCAGCCAAGTCTGCTCTCCCAGCCCTGGACTGAGGCCACTGGACGCCCTGTCCTTTCATCTGGTCCAAAGTGCTCAGCACCATTGGACAGGTGCTCCATGGGGAAAGTGCGGCCTGTCACAGATGTGGGGGCTTTGATAAATCTCCCTCCCGGCCGGGTTCCTTCTCCCTCATCCATCCCGGAGGGGACTGGCTGCAAGCTTGCTGAGCCTGGGGCCCGGGTTGGGGGAGAGTCTTGCCCTACATGGCCCTCCCCCACCAGCCAGGGCTCTGACGACCACCGCCTCCTCCCAGGCACCACCTCCCTTGCCTTTCCTCTGCTGCAGACCTATGGGCCACTCCCCTTTCTCTCTGCAGACCCTGCTGGGCGTCCCCTCCCCTGTCCACTCCAGGAGCCCAGCTTGACCACCCACCCCACCCTCTGAATCCTGCTCCAGCCTGGCCTGAGTCCAGGGACCTTCTCAAGGTCCATCCATGCCACCATCCTCCCTGAATGACTGCTGCAGCCTCCTCATGTCATCCGGACTCCACCCTTGCCCACTGGGCCACCCTGGTGGGCCCCTCTCCTGGATTACACCCTGCCTAAGACCCTCCAAGGCTCACATTGCCCAGGGACAAAGAACTGACTCCCAGAGCAGCCCAGATCGGTGTGCACTTGCCTGCGCTGGGACTGGCTGGCCCAGCCACCCAGCTGCGGTGACCCTGACAACACACTGTGCTTCGGCCAGATTCACCTTCCTGTAACTGGCCTGTCTCTCACTGTGGCTTCTTCTGCCTGCAGTGCATGTCCCTTAGGTTGGCTCCTGCTCGTCTTCTAAGTTGTGTTGCTGAGGTCGCTTCCTAAGACACCTCTCTGCCCCATCCCCCAGCATTGCTTCCAGAGGCCAGAGCTGGAACTGTGCATTTGCTTGTTGGTTTTCCTCACTGGTATCCAGGAATAAGCCTCACCACGGTGGCCGTCTTTTGCATCTGTCCCCGGTGGGAGGCTGCCTGCTGCCCCTCCAGCCAGCATGGGGCCACAGCCAGCCCGAGGCTCCCCACCTCCACCTCCTGCCCGTCCTCCTCTCCACCACTGTAGGCCTTTCCCCAGCCTGGCTGGCACCTGAGGGTGCGCCCAGCGAGCTCACATCTTGTTGACAACAGCCACACAGTGTCTCAGGGACCTGGGAGAGGAGCCTCAGGCTCCACCTATCACAATCTGATTTCTACCCTGACATCACCAAAGGAGCCAGAGCCACTGCAGAGAAGCCCAGACAGGACAGCCAGGGCTGACACTCCTGCCCTCCCCAAACCCACCCCAGATTGAGAGTGGACTGCAAGTGGCCCAGCCAGACCCAGGAAGGACACCCTTCCTTCCACTCACGGACCACCCGCTGCACGGTGAGCACTGTCTCCAGGCGGACCGCACAGCACAGGAAGCTCCTGCCCTTGCGGAGCTGACAGGAACTTGCCCACCAGTAACTGGGCAGAAAAGATTGATGAAGGCCTCTCTGAGGAGGTGACAGTTCAGCAGGGATCCAAGGAAGAAGTCCCAGGCAGAGCAGAAGCAACAGCCGGTGCAAGACCCCCGAGGTGGGAAGGGGCTCCACGTCCGAGGGGCGGAAGTGGCCAGTGTGGCTGGAGCAGGGCCTGTGCCGAGGTCAGAGGCGTCCTGGCTGCGCAGGGACATGAATCCCTAGTCTCTGGTGAGGGGCCCTTGGGGCAGAGCGCTGGCCAAGGCCACCTGCTCACCGACGGCTATTGTTCTGCTTCCCAGGGGAAGTTCGGCAGGATCTCATTAATTGTGTGAGGGAAAGGCCTGAGTCTGCAGAAAAGCCACCTTTATCTTGAGCAGCTGCCGGCTGACCCTGTCCCAGGGTAATCCGGTGACCTTCTCAAGGATAATCTAAATTTAGGCTCCCGATTCCTGGGGACTGGGGTTTGGGAGGCTGCTAGCGAACAGGTTTCATATTAGAGGAAGTGCCGAACAATGTCTCCTCTCGCTTTCGGCTTTGAAACAGTTAAGGATGTTTCCCCCCAGTTCAGCAGATGTTTGCAGAGCCTCTAGGCACCAAGCATGGCCCAGTACCCTTTCCCAGCACAACTGAGCTCCTGCAGGCCAGAGGGCAGCAGCGTGGGTCCTCCTGCGTCATTGACCACTGCCCTGGGTGCCTGGGGCACCCTGTGTGGGGCACGGGCAACTGTGGTGGTGTGATGGGCGCCGCAGTGGGTGCTGCTCACGTGTGCTCCGTGGGCACGAGCAGGCGTGGATCAGCCTCACCCCTACACACAGGACACTTTCTGGACTAGCGAGCCGGCCTCTCTGCCTTAGTTTCCCACTGCCAATGAAGCCCTCCGTGGTGTAGGCCGTGAGGCTGCAGGGGAGCCCCATGGCAGTCCCAGGCCCTCCTGCCAGGTCCCGGAGGCCATCTCCCTGGCTCCTTTGAGCTTCACCTCTCCTCTGACCTCAGGCACATCTTTCTGCATGAGTGTCACTGGCTGCTTGTCAAAACTGGAGGGCGCTGCGGCTCTCACTTCCCTAGCAGGTAGGGAAGTAGGGGACTGGGAGCTCTGGCTGGCAGAGCCCCCTCACCCCTTCAAGGACCACCCTGGGTGGTGGCTTCTGGTCTCCGCTCAGTCCAGGGCCCCCAGGAGCCCAGGGGAGGCCTGCGATGGCCCTGATAAAGGGCAGCAGTGTCCCCAACGGCCAGAAGCAGCCCTCCACCCCCTCCACCCCCTCCACCCTCACGCCTGCTGCCTCTGTGGCCTTTCTGTCCACCTTCTTTCTTTCTTTCTTTCCCATTCCTTCCTTCTCTGCACACCGCATTTTGCAACAAGTTGATACGCTTTTCCACTTAAAATCACAGAGTGATCCTGGATCCTCCTTTTCCACTTCGCACGATATTGTGAACACGTCCCTGCTTGGCTAAAAATACCCTCATGATGACGGGTGTTCATAGCTGCCCCTGGGAGCCGTCTCTGCCACGCACAGGGCAGGGCATGTGCATGGGCAGGTCGTCCTGGGGTTCTGCGGCACAGGGAAGGCTGAGGGCTGGACATCAAAGGGCCGCCGAGGGCTTGGTGCAAAGCCCTTTCTGGCTCGTGGCGGAGGCCGAAGTACGGCCAGCCACGTGATGATGCTGGTGACTGTTCAACCATCCCTCAAGGCGCAGTTTTATAATGATAATTTTTCTATTATAAATAATACTGCTGTTTTTCATGTGCTTTGATATTTTGGATGATTTCCATGGGAAAAATCCTAGAAGTAGAATTTCTGGATCACACCCAGGAGGTGGTATCACCTGGGCTGCTTAGCTGGCGGGCTGCTCTGCTGCCTGCACCAGCACCCGCAGGGTTAAACGTTTCCTGACTGAATAGGTGGAAAATGGTATCTTATTTTAATTTGCATTTTTGCATAGTAATGAGAATTTTTGTCTATTTTGTACTGGCCATTTTTACTCCCCATTTGGTGAATTGTCTCTATACCCACATAAATTCTGAGCGCTGTGTTTTTCCCACCTTATACGTTATACGTTAGAAACATTAACTTACAGTCGTGTGTGTGGCAGATATCTTTTGCCGCTTGCCATTTATGTTTGTTTGGTTGTTGTGTTGTTGTTTCCATTTTGAGATGGGGTCTCCCTGTGGTGCCCAGGCTGACCCCCAGCTTCTCAGACCACCCTCCCACCTCAGCCTCCTCAGCAGCTGGGACTGTGGCATGTGCCGTGGAGCCAGGCAAATTGTTAAGGATCTTTTTCAGGATATTACAGAAATTTAAATTTTGAATATTTGAATCTATTAATGCTTTCTCTGTGGTGGTATCTATCTTTATTTACTTTATTTTTTTTTTTTTGAGACAGAGTCTCGCTTTGTTACCCAGGCTAGAGTGAGTGCCGTGGCATCAGCCTAGCTCACAGCAACCTCATACTCCTGGGCTCAAGCAATCCTGCTGCCTCAGCCTCCCGAGTAGCTGGGACTACAGGCATGCACCACCATGCCTGACTAATTTTTTATATATATATATATTTTTTTCTATATATATTTTTCCATATATATATATTTTTTATATATATATTAGTTGGCCAATTAATTTCTTTCTAATTTTATAGTAGAGATGGGGTCTTGCTCAGGCTGGTTTCGAACTCCGGACCTCTAGCAATCCGCCCGCTTCCCAGAGTGCTAGGATTACAGGCGTGAGCCACCGCGCCCGGCCCTTTATTTACTTTTTAACCATCCAAAATTCCTTCCATACCCAGAAGATACAAATTAAGTTATATTTTCTTACAGTTCTCATCTGCCTGTCCTCAT